CCCCCCCCCCCCCCCCCCCCCCTGCCAATACCCCACCATCCCCTGAATCAGCTTTATGATGCTGGGCCACATACTCCCACTGCAGACCTGCGCACTTGGCCACTGGGCTGGCAGCAGGGTGGGGGGTGGGGGGCTGGGGGCAGTGTGCTTTTAGAAAGGGCCTCCCTCATTGTAGATAAACGCCTCGTCCAGTATGTGCCTGTAACCAATGAGCACGACCCCTTCCTCTTAATAAGCGCTAACGTCATAAACGATGCGGCGCTCAAACACGGAGCGGGGTTCAAATTCCGGCACCCCGCCACAGTACCTGGGAACCATCTGACTGATCCAGACAAACACACAGTCCTGCTTCTTAACCTCATGACATCAGCTTTACTATAAGAAGAATGTACGATGATAGCATCTATACAAAGATAAAAGCCACAAGTAAGTGGTGAGCATGCCCTTCGTTTCATTCAGAGGAGCCCTCCACATGAATTACTCGTTATGTAGTTCGCAACCCTCACCAAACGTGGGCAATGCCACACAGGAGAAGCGAGGGGGCTGGCACGCATTCTGACGCAGCAGCACCTACAATCTCTCACCAGCTAATTGCACACGTCACAGCAGCGATGCAAAAGCGTGACTCGCAAGCCGTCGGCAGGGAGCCCGATATCCGCCAGACCGTCACAGGCGTGCCGCTTGCTGGGTAACAACACCAGGGCGGCAGTTTACTGAGGAAATCCGGCCGGCCGGCTTTCCGAAGGCCCACGAGCTGCATCACTGACACGGACGAATCTTACAGCCTCAGTAATTTGCCGAGTTCCCTGAACCAATTCAGCCTCTCAAGGATCCATCTACCCCAGGCTGCCTCTTACCGGTCAATACACAGCAAGCTCCACAGAGCCAAAAGTAAGATAAATTAAACCTAGCGGTAAAGGTCAAGCATTGATAAATGGGTACAGAAATAGCCTTTGTACCCTTGGAACTGCCCCCCCCCACCCCTTGATAAAACTCTTCAAAATGGCAGGGTGGCCCCTCTTCTCTCTGTCACCCACTAACCACACATCACACCATGTCACTTGAGAGGAACGCCACTCTGTGAGATAAGCCCCATGCTCACCCCGGCCAGGCATGTCACCGGCCAGGGAATAAAGGAAGAGGAGGAATGAAGGCAAACTAAGCACAAGTGGCTGGTTAAAACTCAGCAGCAAGGTCATTCAAAGGTGCGACATCATGTATGGCAGGTCTCCAAAGCAATCTCACAAAGAGCACACCCACTCGCTCGCCCATACTGATGACGTCCGCAGGAGTCTGCAAAACAAGGGCACGGCATGCTACACGCCTAATACCATAAATGATTTCAACGTCATATCCCCTCTACTGTCATGCTAAAAGATTTGGATATTGTGGTCGACTCTTCTGACCAGTGTTATCGCAAAGTTAACGGTCCAAAAAGTGTATTAAAATTCTGCGGTAATGGGCAGGCTCGTGCACGCTCGTTTTATGCATTAGACTTAAAGTCATTCATAAAATCAATACATTCGGTGATTAATAGACACGTTTTCAGTACTTTGCATGTAACATGAGTTCAATAATCCATATTATTAGAAGTCCATGTCAGAATGTTGTTTCTTGACCTAGCCTTTTGTAATAATAATAATAATAATAATAATAATAATAATAAAATAAATGAATGCAGATGTATTACTATATTGACGAAAAAAGAGCAACAACAAGAGGTACTATTAATGGCATTAGTATTACTGTTGTCAGTTGGTAATATAAGACTAAGCCCTACCGGACCCTTTATATTGGCGCATGCGCTGTCCAGGCGTCACCTGAAGTCCCTCCATGCATTTAAACAGATGCTTATTAAGAGCTGTTTTAGCTTCGGTCGGGACAAGTAACATCAGTCACGCTATACAAGTTGGCAATCTGTAAATATACTAGCGCCACATTGTACCTGGTTATAGATATTAGTGAAGATTTTAAAACGTGAACGCTTCAGTTTTACTTTGACTGCATTGACTGCGCTGTCAAAACAGACGCACTTAAAACAACGCGGTTAAGCGGCTGGCTATTTTCAAACATGTTTGTTACATGGTTTATTACAATCTAAACATGGAATCAGAAATACATTGTCAAGAAATGTCACCGTTTACTTAGCTCACTGCGCGGCATCATTACAGCTGCTGGAACGGCTGTTTAGTACTTGACATTTAAATGCGTGAAAGAAGCAAAACGTCAACATAAAACTCACTACTATAAAACCAAGCATAATGTATACTGAACTAAGCAGCGGTTTCTTTTTAGTTTAATAATACGTGAAGTCTGCTTACCGATGATCTCTTCCCAAAATTGAGAGAAGGCAATTGAATTCAGTTGCATACGCTGCTGGATTTCGCAGGTTCTGCAGGCGCATGCGCGCCGACGCCGCACGTCCTGAAAACCACGTGACGTCGGTACACGCTTTCGTTTTGTGCGGGAGTGGCCGGTCTCCTGTCTTCGCGCCTGATTGGACGCGCGACTCACGACGTCTCAGCAGCACGATGCACGGCGTGATAGTGCCGCAAGGATAAGTTCGGGAAAACGCAAAGGAACTGAATAATTAACCAAAACATACATGAACCAGGTCACAACACTGGTGAGTACAGTACACTTTAATGTCAGCTGAAGCATATTACACTACACGCCATGCATGGAGAACTGTGGACTGCATCCAGCTGATGCTAGGATCAGTTTCCAGGTCAAGGTTTCATGTTTGCAGCGGGGCTCGCTGCTAATTTCTGGGGAAGTTTGACAGTGAAAAAGTGCATCTGTTCCTGCTTCAGCTTCCGGCCTGTTGTTTGTTCTAAACCTAGGTTAAGGTACTCTTCAGATTCCCCATAGACTGGCCACTCCACAAGCCCTGGCCCATTGGGTGAACTGTGTGAGACAAAACCAACAACAGGGTCTGATTCAGCACTGCCTCACTTCATAACAAATATGTCTTAGTGCAGTTCATATATAGAATACATTAATTAAAATGCAGTTTCTGCTTACACTGATGTTAATAGGTAATACCAGTTAGGCGCTCCCATTAAAGGGACTTTTCACAAGATTAACACATTGAAATGAGAAGTTTTCTGTACCCGCTGCGGGCAAAGTTGGCCCAGTATGCCATCATCTTCTTTGACAGCTCCTTTTCCTCTTCGGTGACGTGTCTGATTTCTGTGTCATTTATGTTCATGGATATTAAATATGGAGGAATACATGAAAAACAGTTACATAACTTGAGGGAGGTTAATCCTTTGGTGGTGATGGCTTTATGAAATAGAAACCTCAAACAGGACATTTTAAGCCTAAAAAGAAAGTGTATGTTATCCATCTTGCATATTTTCTTATTTCAATGTGCGGAAAGCCTTAATCCAGGAAGAACAAGGCATGAGACAGGGGACACCTTGGACAGGATGTCATTCCCTCACAGGGCACAAGGCAGGGGACACCCTGAACAGGATGTCATTCCCTCACAGGGCACAAGGCAGGGGACACCCTGAACAGGATGTCATTCCCTCACAGGGCACAAGGCAGGGGACACCCTGGACAGAATGTGATTCCCTCACAGGGCACACATATGCTCACAGTTACACAATATGGGGAAAGTAGAGTCTCCAGGTCATCAAAACTGGAGAGCCCAAATTACATACCACAAACACTGGAAAAGCAGCAAAACTCCACACTAACAGAAGAATTTGAGAATCAAACCCACCACTGTAGAAGTGTATGACCCACTAAGACATCATAGTGCCTTAGATTCACATCTTATGTATTTATTTTTATGTTTCTTGGCCTATCACAATAATATACAACCATTTAATTTACAGCAACACAGTGTATCATGATACATTTTCCTGCTGTGCAAAGGCATTTTTTCACATTTCCAAACAGGCTTGCTGTGTTAGTGAATGGGGATTTTTATATACATATATATGATTCAGAGAACCATTTCATGCCAAACGCCTTATGCATTCTGTAGATCTTTCCAGCCATATTTTTTTCCTGAAGCTGTTGGCTTTAAGTAAGTTGCTCAAGGCTAATGCAGGACACCCAACACCTCCAGGCTGGGTGGTTTGAAGTCCATCTCTATCCTGACTATGTGCAGTTTGCATGTTCTCCTTGTGTCTTGTCAGTTTCCTCCCACGGTCCAAAGAGATGCAGTTAGGCTAGTTGGCATCGCTAAACCACCATATGCCTGCGTGTATGTGCCCTGGGAAAGACTGGCACCAGTAATGCCTGCAGAAACGCCTGCGTTACCTGAACCTGTAGTCTCTCCATTCCAGAACGGAGCTCCGAAGACGAAGTAGATATCATCACCATGGTCGGCCTTGACAAAGCTGGGCCTGATGTTTTTGAAAACGGCCGGGGGATGCTGGAACTCGTACAAATATACAGCCCCCCCTGCATCTGCGCAAGAGAGGTGGAGGCATTGAGGTACTGTGAACGGCGTCGTGAAGGTCAGCCCATGACTCGCCGCTTGGGAAGGAACACAGCGCTGTGCCCACAATACTCTCAGCTCCCCCAGACTTACTTCTGTGGTAATTAGCCACTGTGATGGTGGGAAAGACCATGAAGAGGTCGCCCAGTATTTCAGTGAACACGTCTCGCACTTTCTCCGGTGTGTCAGCATCTCGAAAGTATTCTGCGACAATTAGCTCATCCATACCTGCAGCCTGAAAGAGGGATTCAGCGTGAGGCCTCACAGACCTCCTATGCACCCAGACAATGCAGGTTTTCTGCTGTCTCCTACAGAAAGAGGTCTGTCCAAGTCTGGAGCAGAGACTTCATTGGGTGGGGTCTGTCTATCTGATAAACCCAGTTAACCTGTCAAAAGTTGCAAAGATCTACATCTTGGGTTACACACCTAGCTTTGTACAAGTTAGTAAACATAAATCAATATTTTTAGTGTAATATATACATGTCAACAAACATCCTATTTTCAGATATTATGCCGACTATTCAGTCTTTACCACAAAATACAGAAATCCAGATCTCTGCACATCATTTTTTTCAAACATGTTTGTTACATGGCATTCGCACATTTTTTTTAAACGAATATTGTCAGTCAAATACACATTACAATCATTTTTATTTGAGTGATTAATCTGACCAAGAGTCATGCATTTTATATTTGAAATCCTTGTGGGTTACAGGACCTAACAGATTAATCTGTTTGCTCTGCTAAGTCTTGAAGCACTTGGTGCTGGAAAATGGAACGTAACGTAAAAATCTGTGTTATATGGAGAAGAAAAATGTGTTTAGGGAAGAAACAGCTCACCCATCCCTGAAAAATCCGATTTAATATAGACTTGACTTTCTGCTTGTCCATACCCTCTTCCCAGTCAGGAGAAGCAAATGCCTGAGACAAAACCAAAAATAATTGGAATAAAATCATGTGTGATAATTATATCAGGTGATGAATGACCCTTCATTGTTTTGACTGTATTGCAATGTCTATGAACTGATGGTCGAGTGTTACGTTTCTAGTCTTTTTCCTGTACATAATAATATCGGGTGAAATCTCTCATGAACGAAAAGAGACACACAAAACCCACAAACTATGTTTCCATCCACTAGATGCGTTTACTCTTAGCGACAAAACAAAAATGCGCATCAAAACTTTAGCGAAATTTCTTGTGATCATCACGTTTCCATGAAACTGACTTTTATCGAGAAAAAGAAGCATGTGTAATGACGTAATATCCGAGGAAAAAAGAAAAACTCTTTCAGGCACGTTTCCATTCGGAACTGCACATGTATCTATAAAATGTGTATATTTTACTTCTCTTATTTCCATATCCAAATAATAACGGTGACAGAACAAAATGGAAAGGATATACAGGCAATCCCCGGGTTAAGAACGTCCGACTTACATACAACTCGTACATACGAATGAATTGCCATAAATCCTATTACATTATTCGCTGCAGGTGCATTACTGTGTGGGTTAGATCGCAGCAAATGCGACTTGCCTTAGTGAGTATCCAGCCAAACTCATGGTTAGTCACACCTAGAAGAATTGGGACCTTAGGGAATTTCTGGCTTTTGAAAACATCTTCTATGGGTTTTTCCAGAAAATATCCATCCACCGTCGACCCCAGAATGATTTCTTTCTGAAAGACATTATCATCATGTCCAGACAGGTGAAGCCATATAGTGTCCAGAAATTATGGATGTGCACATGAATTTTGCACAATTAACTACACATGGCCTGCATCTTTGTGTGTTGTTAAGGATACGATATACCAAGATGCCACTCAGGGCCGGCCATGGATGTTCTGGTGCCTGTCCCACCTCCCACCCCCCCAAGCAACAGAAGACAAATTTGGTCAGTTCATTAAATATATTAAACATATTTCAGTAGCACGAGGCATCTGGCTGCTAACTAGCTAAATAACTAACATCACGGAACGCAACCACAGGTATTTCTTAAAAAAAAAAAAAATCTGCTGTTTTGTGCCCCCTAATCAAATAGTTTTTGGCTGCAAAGAGTACCCAGGAACAACTAATTAACACATAAAAACTCCAAGATATCTGGTAAAATATGGAACTATCTTATACATGCAGCACAATTAAATGAAAATCACTGTGCTGCAGAAATCTATAAGAGGACTGTGTGTCATCGTGCCCAAAACGACTCCAAATAAGCCACAAAATAAGGACATTAATCATGAAGGCCATTGTGTTGTGCCGTAGCGCTTTTGTTCCTAAGTTTTCTTCAACAGAAACAGTTGCACGGTGATAACGAAAGCGTGCTTGGGTCCAGAACATTAAGCGTAATGTGGGTATAGACCAGCAGGGAAGTTGGGGAAAGGGGACAATCGTGCTCAGGGACAGTGCAAGGTAACTGGGACAAGTGTGAGTACGGCTTCATTTTATCTTAAATTCTCACCGCTTTGGTAGCTTGTATGATGTCCTCCTCAGTCTTCTGCCTCATGCACTGAACCAGGTGTTCTGTAGAATCACTGTCACATGCAGTCAAGTTGGCCACCGCCTGTAGGGAGTGGTGAGAACGTCACACAGCATCGAGTATGAACCTGATGATCTAATGAAACATCATTAGCATGAGGTCATCGGGAAGCTGCCAAAGTTATTGGATAAGACTTTGGCTGACAGTAAACCTTTGCGAGGATCAGTGGACTGTTGGTGAACAAGATATGCACTGTTGCCACTCCACTCTGGCAGATCGCTTTGTGGAAAAGGCCGGATGACAATGGTGAAAGGACCTAGGAAAAAATAAATCAGCTTATCCTGTGACACTCTTGATCTTATCTACTCCCATAACTGAGGAGTTAATTCGCAGAACTCACCAGTCCCCATGTAATCTGACATAGAACTTTCATTAAATTTCCAAAATACATTAAGTCGAGAGAAAGTTTCTCAAAAATGTCTGTACTAAATAATTTTCACAACTCTTCTATTCAGTTGTGCTCCATACTGGTTTATCGGTTGTGCCTGGATGAGTAAAAAATGGGAAATATCCTCAAATAATTCTGTGCTAGATTAAGCAGATCTATGACGAATTTGTGGTTTTACCCCCCAGAAACTCACAAGCAATGATACGCTGATCCCCCCGGCAGATTCTCCAAATATGGTGACGGACTGTGAGTCTCCCCCGAAACTCTCGATGTTCGCCTGGACCCACTGAAGGGCAGCAATTTGGTCCAGGAAGCCCCAGTTGCCTCTGGCATACTCATCTCCAGTGCTGCCGTAATTAAATAAATATATATGTGCAAATATACACTATGTATTCATCTAAAAAGCTGGGGATAAAATTCCATGATTTTCCAGCGGGACTTTGCATTCAAAAACCAGATAAGAAAAGATAAGATATGAAAAATCTGATAAGATAAAATTTATTAAACTCAGGGGGAAATTCTTTGGTGATAAAGGTGCACATGAACTAGAGACATCTTTAAATATCAGTAGCTGTTAAAAAAAACAATCCCCAAACAGGACTATGTGGACTATTAGTGAATAGATCTTCCCAAATCATAGCGAATAACTGATATATGCCGGTCGTTTGGTACTTGCACATCCTTAGTTGTCTCCTGCACTTATTTCATTTAATGTACCTCAAGAACCCCAGGATTCCAAGCCGATACTGGATCACAACCACGACCACATGCTGGTAGGCGGCCAGCGCTGAACCGTCAACCTGCGCAGCCCCGCCGAAGGCCAGACCGCCCCCGTGGATCCAGACCATCACCTAAGCAGTGGAGTCGTGCATTTGCTCTCTTTCTGCTGTCTGTAAGCTTAAAACCCTCACATCTGCATTCAGCTTTTCATTCAAATAATTATCCCTTAAAACTTGTGAATCATTTGAAAGTGTGGCGTGCACTGTTCTCCATGTGAGTGCTCTTGGTACTTGCCTGTATAAATGTTTGCTTTGGTGACGAGGATGCACCTCTGTGTTTAATCTTCAGTGCATGTACCCCGTATCTGGCTTGATTCATTTCTGTTTAAGCAGCCGGGGGCGTATGCACTGTGCTGCTTGTGGGAGTTATACTTACGCAAATATGTTATGAGGGCAGAACCAAAAATGATTGGTTCAGAAACATAACCAATCAGGTATAGAGGAGGTGGGACCAAAACATCTGATTGGTTGGGCCTGCCTCCACTAGTTGCTTGGATCCACCTCCCCTACAATCTGATTGGTTATCTTTCTGAACCAATCATTTTTTGTTCTACCCTCAGAACTTTTTTTGTAAGTAAAACTCCCATGACCCACTCTGCTCAGCCTTCTTTTCTGTATTACACTGAAAACTCAGCACTTCCCTGTAGTTGGCTAATGACTCCATGTTACCTTCCCCTAATCTTTCTACTCAGCCTTTTCACGCCTTTGTTCCTGCAGATGTGTACCTGAACTGCTCTCCCAGCTTGGCCACATGCCTGCTTGACCTTGATATCTAAACCAGTATCTACTTTTGAGGCCACCTTCTTGGGACACTCAGCCATTGGCTGATACCAGGAAGCTCCCAGAGGTGATAGAATGGCCACACATATGAAGAGTATCTCCCTCCTGTTATCAATAAAACACCGAGCACCTGGAGAACAATAGTGCAGCCCCCAGAGGATTCCCTATAATAATCTCGTTTGTCATGTGTGTCAGAGGCTCGTAAACATTGTGCGTGCTGAGTGTGTGCGGTTTAATCTTACAGGTAATCTCTCTTCAGCAGACCGGTCACTGGGGGTATATACATTAAGGTACAAACAATCCTCTGATACAGGTGATTCAGAAACATTCATGTTGAGCATTCTTGAAATTTCCGCCAAGATGGCGGGGTTTTGTATACACCTGTGGTGGAGAAAAACATTACGAGTAAAGAGGACGAACGTTATATATTTAACCCGATTCGCTCCGCCAAAGATACAGCCTGCTAAGTAAACACACTCACATGGCAGGCTGCTGTGTAGCATCTCTCACGCCCTCCCACGCTAATGGGGGCTGGGGGGCCGCCAGACGCAGGGGCCCCACCGGGGGGCGGGCGAAGGGGATGCCCAGGTACTGCTGCACCACCTTTTCCGTGCCGTCCGCCGTGACGTACCGCCCCCGCAAGGTGCCATTTTTGATGGAAACCACTGGACCATCATCTGTAGGGAGTATTTTACATTTGAATTTATTTGAAACAACACATTTTTTTTGTGAAAGTGATACCAGACCAAGTGGAGGTTAAGGGTCTTGCAAAAGGACCCAACAGTGAAATTACTCTCTCTCCCATCCATCCATCCATCCATTTATCCTTCTGGGTCACTGGGGGTCCAGAGCCTATCCCAGAAGCTATGGGCACGAGGCGGGAAACAACCCAGGAATGGGGACCAGCCCATTGCAGGGCACACTCACACCTCACACCGTCTTTGGACGGTGGGGGGAAACTGGAGTACCTAGAGGAAACTCCACGACGACACGGGGGAAACACACAAACATGTAACCCAGGCAGAGACTCCAACCCGGGTCCCAAAGGTGTGAGGCAACAGTGCTAACCACTGCACCACCATGCCGCCCCAAAATCACTCCCTTAACCCTGGGATTTGAACTGCTGACCTTCCAGTCAGGGACGCCTGCCCACTGAGCCCCACCTCACCTCACCTCACATGCTGAGTACATGCATTCCTGTGTCACTCACACTATAGCAGAGGATCTTTTTAAATGCACAGTTGAATTGCCCTTAAACAAACGTGTCTGATTCTCAGTACATTTTTAGATCCAGTTAATAAGGTACTGTGTGCTCATTCTGCCATTGCAGAAATCCATTGTGTTTGCGGACAGCAGTACGGTAGTGCTTGTTAACTAATGCAGGACAGCTTCAAAAAGTGCAGGTTATCTGATGTTCACGTTTGTCCTCTCGATGCCATTCATCTAAGTCAGTGTTTCTCAGTCCACATTTTTGCTCCCCTCCAAACTTCCACCACACCTGTACCATGTACTCACTGCTGTGGCCCCCAAGGACTGGGTTGGGAAACACTGATTTGAACCAAAGCCTCAGATCCCAAACCTTAGTCCACACTAAACCAATTACACATTTAGGGTAGTAATACGTTAATCCAGGATCATCCTATATTCACACCAATTTAAATCCAAAGCCAATTCATTTTATGTTACATTGTAAAATCATTATTTTCAGTGATTAAACAAAAATTTTGTTTTTACTATGTCCTTTAATTTTACCTGTAATTGGTTATTGGAAGTCACTACTTTTATGTAACAAATTACCTCCAGTCCAGGACTGTCTGATTTTGTGTCGAATCACATTGCAGATAAACTCTTTGTGAAACATGGAAATGGTTTTGTACGGCTGTCTTGTAGTAAAATATTAATGTTAGGTTTCACTTGCCTGTTTGGCCGCTCGTCGATATAATAATGACGGCCAAGGTGAAGCCGCCCAGCCGCACAGCACCTTTGGTGAACATACTCGTGAGCATACGACTGTGGTGCACAAGACTGAATGTGGAAAACTGCACACTAAATTCACTCGTCCACTTTAACGACCTCACTGCCAACAGGTAACCAGTACAGGGGTAACTCTAGGATTTTTTAGTTGGGAGATGAAAGGGGGCCATAATTCATACAGAGAGGCCAACCTTACCATTAGCCAATGATATGTTTTGAGTCGGTGAGTGACAGGGAATGGGGTACTCTGGGGGCCAATCAGCTTTAAGCTGGGGTTATTCACCCTGTGGCCCCACCCCTGTATGCACCCCTGAACCAGAAACTTCAGTAGCTGCCAGAAACAAACTGACCTTCAGCCTTGCACTTGTCGATCTATTGACTCTGGAAGAGCACACCATGTCTTTGTGCATTTACCCCCTTCACTGCTCTCTAAAGGCATGTCTTTGTGCATTAACCCCCTTCACTGCTCTCTAAAGGCATGTCTTTGGACTTTGACTGATTCTAATACTGTCTCCGTTGCCCTCTAGATTTTGAAATGATTTACACTGTGATTGTATTTGGACTAGTCAGGCAATGCAGATGAAACAATTATAAGATAAGATGAGATTAAGATAAGGTATAGATAAGATAGAGCTTTATTGATCCCTGGGGGGAGGGGGTTGTGTTCCAGCAGTTTTACAAAACTAAACCATAGTCCCTTATTAATCGATTAACCAGGGATGTCACTAGAGATTTTGGGCACCATGAAAGTATATCATAGTAGGACCCCAATTCAGGCCAATCCAATTATATTCCAAATGTAATTGCCCTAACCCCCCCCCACCCCCCCACCCCTGGTGGTAATAATAAAGGTTGGAGGGAGTGGACTAATACCATTGGTTCTGAATATTTGGATTTAGTATTAAAAACGTTATGCATTTTACCATGAGCACAGAAAGAGCACATTGAATTTTCCAGTTACATAGTTCATTATGTGACGAATTACCTCACATGTGCTTTTAGATGCTGAACTGAAACTACAGAAGTCTGACTAGTGAGATTAGTACGTTTTAAGCATTTCTTCATGTAAGTTATGAATTTTCATTTATTTTAACTCCTTTGGCGACGCGCACGGTATATTACACTTGGACAGAGAAACCGTTAGTCTCGTTAAGTGCATGTCCTTGATATGGATTTTGCCCAAAACTCCACTAGGGGGCAACATAACTTTTCCTTGGATATAAATTAGCAAGCGGTTTATTAAATAGGAAGACATTGCCCGTTATAACATTGCTAATCCGGGAATGTGTGTATTGGTATCGAAGAAGATACAACATAAATTGAAACAAGGGTAAGACGGAAGAAAATTTAGCCTGTACATGGAAATTAGACAATATAAAATATTTAAATAAAGCCATATTCATATCTAAAAAGTCTAAATATTTTCAGAAGGCTACATGACATTTGGGCCCTAACAAATTATTAGCTACACGCTATGGTTAACAGTACTTGTCACGCCAAAGGGACAGAGTTAAAGAATATGAAAAATTATTAACAAGGTACAGCGCCACAGACAAAAGGTCGCACCTTGAACTGCGCAAAACCACATGGCCGCGCCTTCTACCTCGCGGTCAGTTCCCGAGGTTCCGCGCAGGCGTCGATCAATGTCCTGGGAGCACTGACTGCAAGATACGTGATCGATGCGGCTAAGCAAGGCGCAGATGCCGAGGTCAGGTGGCTATAACCGAAGACGAGGTCGTAGAACAGAACTTGCTCCTGTGATCGGCAAGCGGGAGCCAAGACGCTAAGCAAAAGCGGAACAAACCCAAACCACAGAATCAGTGAACCGAGAGCTCAGATACAAACACAAAACCGAAAACCAGACCCAGCAAGCAGACCACCAAGACTGAACAAGAAGCATTAATTAGAGGAAGTTTAAATAGATTGATAGATTGACCACAGATATGGGTGATAACAGATTGAAACCATCAGGAGGTGAGTGTGGTAAAGGAGAACGAACAGGGTAGCTTGTTCCAGGTATGTTGTGTCAGGGTTGAACATTAAGGAAGGTTCTCTGAGGTTTTTCCAAGATGGGATCAGTCACCTGATTATCAGGAAGTCCATGGTCCAGAAAACTCCATATTCTTGATCTTGTTCCCCAGTCAGACAGGCAGAATAGTGTTTAAAGAACTCTGATCCGACCATCCTGTCCTGTAAGTAGGTCCTGTGGAGCATGTAGATCAGTGCATCATCCTCCCCTATATCTGCTTGGTAAGCAAACTCTCAAAAGTCCAAGTAATCTTTGGCTATGGGTGTGAGCTGTCGGAGTGGCAGCATTTCATCATATATGATGTTAAAGCTACCAGTCTGGGGCACTGGATCACCCCTCCTTATGTGTTCGCGAGAATCCCATATAGCTGGTTGATGCATGCTTTGAACAACCTTGGGCTAATCCCATCTGGGCTTCTGCCATGCCTGTGTGCATCCTCTGTACTGCAGTGATGCATTGGTGGGGGGTGGTTAGGGATTTCGGGTTGGTGTTCTCTGTGGCGTGAGAGTGACAGGGAGGTGGAAGAAGTGAGGAAGGTGTGAAGTGGTAGAAGGCTGGGGGGGGGGGTGTCTGGGGGTGCTGAGTGCTGGTGCGACTGGCACAGAGGTATCAGATCTGCTGAAGAAGGCGCCCCCCCCCCCCCCTTCAGTATGTGATGCCCAGCTAACAGCTGAAATCAGAGGCCAACACAAAAGTTGGGCTCCCACACTAAGCACCTGTACATACTAATGCATTAAAATACATGTACATTAATGTATAAGCTCAGCTTTGAGCAGTTAGGTACCGTATACCGATTCTGCACTGTAATTAAAGAAAAGGCTAAAAATGCTAATCCCATGGGAATCAATAAAGTATCAAATCAGATGTGGATTATTATCTGTGGATTAGATTGTCACACATTAATTTGGATATTTAGGTGTAGATATAATCAATGTTTTTTGTTCAGGCCTTAGTAAATTCACAAAAAATTACAGTTAATAGCCTATTGTCAAGTTTGCCAATTTCTCTAAATAACCCTCTTAATGTTTATTATTGCTTTTGATATCTGCAGGTCATCTAGAACATCTGTATCGAATGTAAGTATTTATTCTGAGTGCTTGATATCTGAAATTCAGGAAAGGAACATAAAATTGAGTATGCATACATTTACAATAATAATGGATTTAATGCCAGTGATTTTTCCATTTACTATGTGCATTTTATTTTTTACATGTATTATTATGTATATGTGTTGGATGTGGAATGATTTCATTACAGGTGGCCTTGCACCTTTGAAATTTGCTTCCGGCCCCTGCTCTGTATGAGTTTCTTCAGGGTGCGATGTTTTCTTCCAACGCGACATGCGAAACACACGAAACGAAAGCGTAGGATGTAGGTGAGCTCGTTTCTCTAAAAGTATCGCGTGTGTATTTACAGCCTGTGATGGGCAGGCATCCTGTCCAAGCTGCGCTCTGCCTCATGAGCGGCAAAAGGAGATCATTTAATTACATTCTGATTGGTAGCCCCTAGGTGGCAGTATGCATCGCAGACTCCACACAACTGAACTGCACTTTTTGTGTTTAATATGCTGTCGTTACATCTAGGGAGTATTTGCTGGTAACCAGTGTGACAGCTGGACAGATAAATATTTTAATGTATTCGGTTTATTTTCAGTGGGTTGTTTTTTTGGAACATATTAGTGATAACGTCAACAGCCAGTAGTCTGTGTGGAAGACATGCTGATATTAGAAACAATAATAGATCCCTCAAATTTAACGTCGTCGGGTTAAAAATTGATCAGCCTTGTGTTGTTTCTTGAGGTGCAATCCTAAGGCGAATATCCGGGATCAGTATGGCTGTCATTTAAATTGATAGTTACTTTACAGTTGTGCCCGCCCATTTAAATGTTTACAAATTAAATAAACACGTTACTTGACAATGCTACTTGATAATCATGGCGTCTTATGTTAAGAATGAGGCAACCCAGTGAAAGTAAAAAATGGGAAGTTGTTAAAACAAAAGCTTTTCATTTCGTGCTCTTTCGACTGAAAGCTTCTTCCTTGTTTATTAAAATAATTAAAAAGAATTGTATCCTTGAACAACCATCGTCAAAAGTAATCCGTATGGGTAAAAAATAGAGTAACTGCTGTTTCAGGGTGTCTTGTATTGAATTTATACAATTGGAAATGTATGTGCGCTCCGAAGCCTACAGATTTAATGCTCTGCCTGTGGGCGTGGCTTGTTTCGTCATATCCGGGAGACGGCGGGCCCGTCACACACCAGGGGCGTTACAGGAGGCGTGGCTTTCTCCCGGATCGCCATAGCCAGGGTGTGAGTGTCAGGGCTCCCATTCAGATCCGCACGCTTGAATTACCGGGGGTTTTGTGACACAAATGAAAACGATTGAAGAACGCGACAACAGCCGCGAAGCATCAGAAGAAACAGTAAAGACAGACACGGCGGCGAGCCGCGGGAGCTTACCTGCCTCACTCTCAGCAATCCCAAGCATTAAAGGGGAGCGGAGAAGGAAGGGAAGGGAAGGCGCACGTCTTTAAAGCATCTGAAAGTAGGCAGCGCTCGCGTGTCCACAGGTAGTCAGCGGGCTAGCTAGCGTATTCACTTATTAAAAAGTGCAGGACATGTGGATATCTCCGGTCCGGGACACGGCTGTGGTTTTCTGCTAGATCTCCGTGGACGGAGCGCTTCGTCGCTATTGGAAAGGGAACAATCATGTCCAGAAGAAAACAGAGCAAGCCCAGGCAGATTAAACGTGAGTAGATACCTAGAAAGTTAACATGAAGACCTTGCCTAATATTTCTTTCCCATTATTATAATTTTAATAACATATTTCTGACTGCATTCTTTTGCAAAGCTATTGCTTTGTTACATAATTTTTTGATGATTCGCACTGTTGGTTTTTCTTTAAAGCCTTTCTTTTGAGACATGCTCAATATGGAATAAGTGTTGGTGTTGAACGAGCGTTTGCACCTACTTTTTCCTTAGTTAACTGGGTCGAATACACTTCGGATCAACATTAATCAGTCTGTAATCGGTACTGTAAATAAGAAATCCCTTTTCCATAGAGTGTTCTCGAAAATATAATCAGCGGAGATGTTTGTGCATGTGCATACCTTCTGGCAAATAAGATTAAGTGTCAAAAATAATGTAGGCGATGCCAGCAGTTGTCATGATGACGGCTGTAATGAAGTTTGAATCGTTTCATTGGCTGCATCGCGGATTATTAATTTCTTCAAATGGCCTGTTGCTTTTAAAAATACATTTCCTTTTTTAAATACAAGTAGTGTCCACATGCAGCAGACCGTTGCCATGGTTTCCTGTTTAATTCTGTTTTGGAAACGCACTGCTCTCTGAGAAAGGCGATGGGAGCCCAGATAAGCAGCGATCTGATCTCAGTCGAGATAAAGATTAAAATTGGATCTTTTTATTTGTTTTCTGTCTGTGGCTGCTCCGAGACTGGCTTTTCTGTTCTGTTTCCAGAGATGGGGCCCTCAGATGCCGCGCTGTGCTGATTTCACTCGCTGATAGGGATTACAATTGGATCTTTTTTCATCTGTCCCATTAACTCTGTGATGCACGGTCTCCACTCTCTCCCCTGCCTTGTAACTCTTTTTTTGCACTTGGCTAACTCGCCTTCGATGTTTAACAAATCCTTCCTGTTTTTAAAACATGCAAATATTTATCTCTAGTGTGCGATCTCAAAATTGATACAAATTATATGTGATATTAAATGCTTTTCCCCGAGTTAAAAGGAGCGCCAAAGCTGAAAAGTCGTTTTGCTCCGGTGCCAGGCGCTGTTTCAGTTCTGCTTCCAGGAGAGATGCTTCGGTGCGATAAACACAGTAGCAATAACTTGGAGGTTGAGTTTGAAAGGGCTTTTCAAAAAGAAAGAAAATATATATTAATGGGAGGAAAAGGAGAAAGCGACTCTTAGAAAGAAAACCAGAAGCCTCCTGATAAGATTACATTAGCATAGGCTGTTGTATCGAAGTTTGTTAGGGCCCCCCGGAGGATTGTGAGAGACGCGCGCGCATATATATGTATACACACACACACACACACACACACACACACACACACACAGGATTTCACTTTGGAGGCTGGATATGTTTCATGTTCTCACCTTTGAGAATCTGCCCAATCAGCTACCAGCAAAATCAAAAGAGCGGTATAGTAGCCTACTAGTGTACTTTTGGTAAATATTCCAGGTGGCTCCCTGTTATGCTCCTCTCCGGCGCTCCCAGGTCTGATTACTTGTTTTAGGCTAATGCTGGACTTTTTGCGGTTTAGCCGAATTTATTAAATTGGAGAAGGGCTGTTTTCCTTTCCTTGCTTATAATCTTTTTAATAAAAGCAGTGACTGCTGGTCAAAACTAAGGAAATAATACGACTTGGGAATACGTTTACGAAATAAACGTATTTGTAATGATAATATAGGCATAAACAAGCAAATAAATGAAAAATAACGGGTTACACAAACAATGATAGTATGACGTGTCCTGTTTGTAATGCGTAAAATACCGCTTAATTCCTTGTAGATCAATATGAATATTTAACAAATTGTAATTATTGTCCGAAAAAAGTAGACTAATTTGTGGATTTCAGTCTGATGTCATCGGCATCAACTTTTTATCACGTGTTATGACTTATTTCCTCAGTTGTGTTGCTTGTCTGATGGCAGTTACATTGTCACATGATTCACTGCGACTTTGTAGATACGCTTCTATTCGAGCTGGCTTTTCCCTTTTTTCTTCTTCACTGAGGAAGACTTCTAATCGCAGGTCTCCACGCATTGCGGGGTGGTGCGACCCAGAAGCACGTGTCAAGGTCCATAGCTGTGGGACACTAATGAGTAGTGGCGTTTCTACGTGGCGGAGGCTCTGCTTAGTGCCGATAGCCAGATCTTGCCAACAGATCAACAGCCCCTCCCTGATATAATAATTCCTTTCATATATACGGCCGGCGCTTCCTGTTCCCAGTTTTTAGTTCTGGCAGTTGAGATGTTAGACAGGATAGGGAGGGTGGAGATCTTTGCGCGATAACGTGAAGCAGATCAGCCCGATTACAACGGAATGCGAATGTTAATTATACCCAGCTGGTGCTCTCATCTTTTTGTGTTTGAAACTAGCTGGTTGCATCAAAATAGCACGATTAAGCTGATAAGAACAAGGGTAGAAAGAGCAAAGAATTTAAAAAGCCATATATGCGTATTAAAGCATCTTTCTCTGTGAGATCTGCTGAAATGATAAGTCGCTTGGTCGATCTGGGAAGATAGCGGCGGCTTTGCCTCCTGACGTCTGCGACTGAAACACTGATAAGCGATGTCAATATGCGGAGTAAGGGGTAAACGTCCAAAGTGATGTCACACTTTGGTCGGGAATTCCGAGATATCCCATAATCGCGAACAAGATTGGAACTTTTTAACGATTGCAGTTTGTTACATACGCACCCCCCAAAAAATACCCACTATCGACCTTTGGCCGTGTGATAGTTACATATCACACTGCTGTTCGTCTTCAGATGTGCACATTTAAGAGACAAACAAGGAAAGGCGAGTCTTCGCGCACAGATAGTCGCAGAGGGAGCTGGAGCGCCATGGTGGCTTTTGCCTGTGTGTTTTTCCTTCTTTGTTCTGCTTTTAGCTCGATGTGAACTTTAGATAAGCCGTCGGGCCGATCTCTGCACAGATAGAGATCGCCAAGTCCGATAAGAGTTCTTATCTGAGGCGAGCAGGCAGGAGAGGGACTTTAGTGCAATAACAAAGCAGCACATGGGAGTTCTGCGCCTGCGCCTCGCCAGTGAGCTCCATGCTTAATGTGATTAATGTTGTTGTATAATTAGATGATAGGTGTGAATGCATGCCCCCCCTCCCCTCCGCAGTTTTGCCCGTATTTTCTCCTAACGACCATTGTAGTCGATTAATTTAATTAAAACTAATTCCACATATTACTCACTGTAGATTTCACGGAAGATACTACGGGGACTTTTTTCACTCGATAATTATCTTGAGTCTGCTGTTTATTTTATCATTAAAAGAAAACTGTTGCATGCCCATGAATCTAAAAAGAAAAATAACATGCTACGGCAGCAGAATTATTGCGACGATTACGCTGAAGATATTAGATGGCGTGTGATAAGGCAAGGCTGCTGTTCTCTTGATGGAGAGCCGTTCCTTCCTGTTCCTCCCATTTTCCTCCGAGCACTCAGTTTGTACACTTTGTTTGCCCGGTGCAATGTTTGTTAGCTTTGACTGTCCATGAATCCTGCTGATCGCGTTATGTTAACGTGATCGTTTTCCCTCTTGGGCATTGGCATCAGCGTTTTTGGTTTCTGATCTTCAGTGTACCCTATGTCTATTGAAAACACACTAATAGTCCTTTCGGCGATCAGGGCGATTTAAAATGGTGACAGATTAAAACAATCCTGCAAGCAGTGGGACTCAGCTTCCAGCCTTAAGGGGCTAGTTGTATGTTGGCATGCAAACCCTTAACTTTCAGTTCTGAAGCCCTTTTTTTTTTTTTTTTGAACACTCGATGTTTTTAACATGAAGTACAATGAGCAGAGATGAGTGAGAAGGTGCTGATGAATTATTTTGGTTGATACTGTGAACTATTCACAGCTACGAATTCAGGGCTTCTCCATTGCAGCATTTTGTGGTGGTATTGACAGGATCACCCCGTCGCTTAAACATCTGCTCCTGCAGTGCAGCTGGCCTGTGTCTCTGGTCTAGCATGGGAACCCAGGGGGGCACAAACACACTTGCATACGCACACGAACAAAGACTCGCTCACACTTGGGTGTTTCACAGCTTCTTGTGCTCTGCTCGGAGTTGGTGGTTAGGGGGTTAAATTAACCTCATTTTTCAGCTTTATCTCCAAAATCTAAAAATTTATCTTGAAAATCTGAGACGTTATCTTAGAAGTTCCTGAGTTAGTTTTAAGAGAGTCCTCTGGTAAGGTTCTTTTACTTTTGATGAAACAAGTGGAATGAGAAAATACAAGTTTACCTGTCAGGACCAGAAGTGTTTTATTTGTGTCTCCAAGTCCATAATATTTAGAGAGTGCTTAGGTGGTGTCTGCCTGGGGGTGGTGGTGGGGTTGGAGAGGGGGGGGGTGGATTGGTTGGAAAGCCTGCAGAAGGTTGTTCAGGCTACGTGGGTGACAGCCAGTGCAAGGACAGAGTGTAACGCTAATGTTATGACAGGGACCTCGGTGCCTTTGATAAAATGGCTATTTTTTATGTCCCGAGTCTTTTCTCCCAGGTGTAAAATGTTGTCGCCTGGCAGACCTGCCGAATCCCGCAGAAATGGCTAGATAGGCCGTGGAGGCTGCCCCAGACGTCGTACGTTCACCTCCGAGAGTTTCTTTGCTAATTGGAGCGTAGGGGGTGTAAAAATAAAAATAGATCTGAGATTCTGTATAACACAACAAAAGCCAGTGGGCGCGATACCCCTTCCTGAGCGATACGCACCTCGTCTTGAATAGCAGCCAAAGCGTAATGAGTGCTTTCAAAAAGCGGCTCTATTATGAGTACTTTCTTTTCTTCTGCGGAGAACGAGACATGGCTTAAATAGCAGAGAGACAAAAACAAAGGCTCACAAAGGGGAGACTTGAGATTGTGCTCAGGGACGTCGGGTTTTTGTGCGGGTCTGGGTCGGTGGAACGTCTCAGCCGCGGTGTGGTCTGTGCCGCTGGTCTGTGGCTGTTAGCCGGCATCAAGCCTCACTCTCTTTTTCTCGCCAAGCTTGTCTCG